TCGAGCTTCTGCCGCCTTCCTTGAAGTCACTGCCTGGTAGGGCCCGCCTCTGGCAGGCTGTACCGACAGGCCGTCGTGGGGAACAGGACTCCGCCTGCCCGGAGCGACGTCAGAGGAGACATGGCACAGTGCCCCGCCATGCGGAGATCTCCGTCTGTACCGAGCACTGTAGCCATGCTCGTCCTGAGCATCGGAGGCGACGCGCCTTACTGTAGCCATGCTCCGTCTTGTACTCTTGAAGGGGGGCTCGGCCATGCTGCAGTGGTAGGACGGCCGCCAGCCCGTTGCCGCCTTCTCTGGAGGGCGGCTGCCAGGAACCGGCCGCCCGGAGCGCCGTAGTCTGGGGTCATCCGCCCTCTGGCAGCCGGCCACTGAGCCAGCCGGCCCCAGAGGGCGGAGCTTCGGCTTGGGGCCCAGCTAGGCGGAGCTGGCCCAAAGTCTTGGTAAATCTTGGGACTCGGGTGAGCCTACCTGTGGCCCATTACTCCGACATAGGTATTGGTGCAATAATTTGCCTCCTTATGTTTTGGATATTATTGGCATAAACAGTAATGGAATGATGTGTTTGCTAGTGCACACAAAGTAACAGGTCTCTGGAGTCATGTGGAGTTTGGTACAAACTCTGAAGATAATCTTTTGCATGGCAACGAGGATTATCAACGAAGATTATGCCTGCCGAGAGTGACCCCCTCCCAAAAAAAAATTGTTGACAAAGCAATTAACGTTGTTGATCCCGTGAGATGCCCATAACCTGTACATCTACCTCAAAAAGGAATGAGAGCACATGAGGAACTACTCGTCCAAAGAATCCTCAAAACTTGAACTGTTCGATGAATTAGAACGAGTAATGGTGGAGGCTGAGGCTGGAGCAGAGCTGTCATCTTTGGCTTTGGGATCTTTAGAGCGAGCAACATCGTGTCTCTGTAGATAAGAGTGCATGCAGTGTCTTCAATCTCATCATTGGGCTCGACAAACAGCAGATTAGTGGAATCAGACCTCTGAGGCAGTACTGGAAAATAGCCTACTTATTTACTATAATCCCCGGGCTTTGAGCAATCATGCTTGTAGACAAAAAACTTCACAAAAGTAGCCTACTTATTTACTATAACCCCCTTGAGTTTGAGATCTTCACAAAGAAGGGTCTTCTTTTCGGGGCAACCCCCTAGAGTTTGTGGCAATCTCCATTATAGGTACGTTCGGGACGTATTAGCTTCTGTTGTCAGCGACCCTCCACCCTCCGTCCAAGTAGAATCTCCTCCCTCCTTCCTTCCTATTCCTCCCCTGCTCATGGCGCACCAACCCTCTTGTATCATCCTCCCTCCTCCCTCTTGGCTTCTTCCTCCTTCCTCCATCCCTCAACCCCATCTATATTTCTAAAGACAACATCGTATGAAGGAATACATGGCTATACACCAACCCTCCTTCCTCATACTTCTTCCTACATCGGCTTTGGCCTGTGGGTGGATGCACCAATCGGATATGAGTATGTTCTGTCCCTCTCCTCCTTCCTCTGTACTTTCTCTGTAATTGTTAAGTGTGTCCATGTATATATTGCAGATTGCGTCTATGTATTGCTATAGCAATATTGTTGTGTAATGCTTGAGTGCGACAGGGATCCGTGTGTGGTGTATAGAGAGAAGCATGAGTTCGGTTCAGTTTAATTAAATCCAGTCAGACATAAGTTAAGTTAAATTCAGTTTAGTTTGTTCCTTTTGTATCCCATGGTGCACATAGTTATTGCTATTCGAATCAGTTATTACGTGCTTAAGCACTCAGTTAATTGTCTATTATGAAGAATTTGTTTGTTGTTGGAACAAATGGTTTGGTTTACAATTTTCTTATAATATGTAGAAGGATGTATATTTGTTAGGAGGAAAGAATGATATTTTGATGATTGATGATATGGGTTCCTGCTCATGTGTATTTAGTTAGTGATTTTGCATATTTGCTAAATGCTAAATGTTTGGATTGTCGACTAAAACAATTTACCTTTTGTAGGGTCTGAGATACACCAAGAAACATTGGTGATGGCTCAGGCATGCATGGGTTACATGGGGCTGCATGCAGCAAGATAGGTTCTCCTTTGGTATTAGTTGATGCTAGAGTGTCGACTGTTACTACTAGCAAAATTAGTTTGTGTAGCCGTTACTAATGAGCCGAAATGGACATGGGCTACATGCTAATTTGTCTGGAGCTATTGCTCACTATTTTAGTTTCTAATGCATATGAAATTAGAGAGTAGCGTTAATGGGTGGAAATTGAATGCCATTTGAGGTTTGAAGATATGCAAGCCACTGATGGCCTAAGTTATAAATTGTATACAAATTTGCTCAACTTAAGTATTGTTGCCAATATTCCATGCATTTGTTCTGCAATGTTTAAATATTCGGCAGTATTCAATGCATTCGTCCACTATGAGCAGAGATTTGTTATGTGATATTTAGTGCATTCCGAAAATTGAAAGTATAGTCATTGAATTGCGCATGTGTTAGCTATATGTCGTCTACAGTATCATAATTTTCTTTGCAGAATGGTCATTCAATTGTCTACAATGCACAAATCACTGCTTTAGAGTCAATTAGCATATAAACATATTCACTCAGGCCACAGGGGCATTACAGACAAATCAATGCCAAATCTATAGTTTCACCATTATCTCAACCAAACAGCTTCGAGCTTTTCCATAGCTGAAAGTTAACATCAGTTTTCTCATAGCTCGTAGCTCACCCATAGCTTGTAGCTCACACCAGCTTTTTCAGAATATGCAGCTCCACCAAACACAACGTAACAAAAGTTGCTTTCTTATAGCACTAAAGTTGCCCCGTAGCACCCAAAGTTGCATGTTAAAGATAGCTCATCCAGACATACACACATGAGATCTAGTTTTGAAGAGCTTGTCGCAAGGAACCCAAAAGTGAACGCACATGAATTCCGGTGCTCAAATCAAAAGTTATGACTTTTGGAAACTCCAAATAAATGCATATGGGACATGATCGTTTATTCTTTCTTGTAGAAATCCACATGGTAGGCGCGTTGGAGGATGGGGTCAGGGCCTTTTTTCCAAATCGAGACAATCCCATGGCACGTATATGGTTAAGAAAAGGCTAGACTTTCCTTTTTGGTAGGTACTAAAAGGGTGTGTGCTTTGCTACACCATTGGGAGCGTTAGGTTTCCATTAAAAAAATACCCCTTTTGTTTTCAGAATATAAGGTGTATTAGTTTTTAGAAAGGTCAAACCTCTAAGTTTTCCCAAATTTGTAGAGAAATATATCAATATTCACAAAACCGAATCAACATCATTAGATTCATCACGAAATGAATTTCATATATTTTATTTATTTACTATGGTGGATGTTGATATTTTTGGCTTTGAGCTTGGTCAAAATTAAATGAATTTTACTTTCAAGAAACAAATACAACTTATATTTTGGAACTAAGGGAGTATTTGGTTGGCCGAGAGGGGGTGTTGGAGTGTGTTTTCTTTTTATCTATAATACTGTGTTTTGGTGGGCCTTCTGTGGTGTGATTCGGTGTTATCTGCTAATCAATCCATACTTCTGTGAGGAAATTTTCTGTGTCGATGGTAGTATGTACTATATTGATACTACAATATCACATGTTGGCGCATCTTTTTGTTAGGTGATGTGAGGGTACGCGGGATTAATATATTTCTATAGGGCAGTACCTGCTGATTGCTTTCAAAAATTGTTGACTTAGGTCAAAATCATGAACTAAATCTAAAATTGAATACCTCAATCAAATGAAAAAGGCTTCATAATTAAGAAACATAGTGAATTAAAATAATTGAATGAGAGAACTCCTTCAGAAATTATTGGCCCGGTTGAAATCAGGTGACTCCATTTTAAATTGAAGACCTCAATTGACTGTGAGGTCTTAAAAATTAGGGAGGACGATGGAGTGTGTTTTCTTTTTGTTTATAATACAGTGTTTTGGTGGGTCTTTTGTGGTGTGATTCGGTATTATCTGCTAATCTACCCATACTTATGTGGAAAAAAAATTCTATGTCGGTGATAGCATGTACTATGTTGGCGCTACATATCACATGTTGGCGCTTCTTTTTTTCTAGGTGGTTAGAGGGTGCACAATTCACTCTTTTTATAGGCCGGTTCTTGCCGGTTGATTTCAAAAATTGTTGACTTTGCCAAAGTCGTTAACCAAATCTAAAATTAAATACCTCGATCATACAGAAGAGCTCCAAAACTAATGGACATAATGAATTAAAAGAATTAAATGAGAGAGCTCCTTGAGATATTGTTGATCTGATTAAAATTGAATGACTCAATTTTAAATTGAATATCTTAATTAATTGTGAGTCTTAAAACTATGAAGCATATGGCGTATTTATATATGAGAGGACGGACGCTCGCTAGCCACGTCCAAAAATAAAACTCCGCTCTTTTTCAAATATGAAGACAAGTTTCAAAAGGAATAAATTGCCATGCATGGCAATAGCAGGAACAGGATGGACACATAGAAGCTACTCATCATCACTAAGAAAATAATAGCAGTCGTTAAATTGGTTGGATCGATGATGTATAGCAGCACAAACGCATACAATTAGGTGCCATGGGAAGAAAGCGAAATTGTGCCCCAAGGCTAGAGCGTGATCGTATTAAACTGTCCCTTTCCATCAATGCTCATGTTCTTTGTCTTCTTTAAAGTCCACGACTCCGAAAGCTCCACGCAATTGTTATCGAGGAAGATGATAAACTCATTGTGGGTTAATGTGAAGCTAAGTGTTTGGTGTAGTACTCTCGTGACAGAAAGGACAAGCCATGAGACATAAGTAACTTGTAAATTTGTACAGTCAGCTTCATTTATTTATAATCATTCATCTGTAGCAATGCACGGGCGTTCTATTAGCACACAGTTAGTAGTTAGGTGCTCGCACGGCCACACACACCTCCTCGCCGCTCCGTGCGTACGCATCGATCACTGCCGTACGTGCGCAAGATCCACCAGGCCTAGGGACGACGAATCAGTTCATGTTGCGCGCGCAGTGCGTGATGGCGGAGCAGCCACGCGTGTAGGGGTTGGCCTGCTGCATGGACCCGCAGTTGATGTAGTAGGACGCCCCGCGCTTGTCGCAGGGGATCTGGTCGGCGCGCAGCGCCGCGTAGCTGATGTACCTGGCCGTCGACTTCCGCACCAGCGACCGGCGCAGTGCCTCACCGGCGCCGCCGGCGCCCGTCACCATCTCCTCGTCCTCGTCCACGCCGCACTCCCCGATGACCCCGTCGCAGGCCGCCGCGCGCGACAGCAGCATGGAGGCCAGCTCGCCCGCGGAGGCCGGGGACGGCAGGCTGGCGACCGCCGCCGCGGCCGCCAGGAGCGCGAGCAAGGCCACGCCGAGCCTTGCCATGTCAGTCTTCCGTCCGGTGGCTGGTTTCTTGCGGGTTTGAGTCGGTCGTTTTGTCGGTATGCACCTAGGTGGATCTCTCCCTGCTTTCTTCTCTCTTTGAAGGGAGTGGGAGGAGGGGGAGATGGAGAGGAGATGCGGGTGAAGGGGGTTTGGAGAGGGAGCAGGGCGGCCGCACGTCGGCTTGGCCAGTGCCGCCGCGCGTTGCGGCCTCCGCCTCGGCGCCCAGCAAGATCGAAACCATGATACGCGCCATATGTGCTAATTTTAGGTGCTAGGAAGACCCATGTTCTACGGTGTCCACTGACCACTAGTACGTGACATGTGGACACCTTCTGAGGTGCCCGTTTCGAGCGTCCTCTCCCATCTCCGACTACGCCGCCCCGAGGCCATCTCCCAGCCTCGCCGCGCCGCTCACCCCGCCATTGTGGCGCGGCTTCCCTCCGTCCGCCTCCATCAGACCACGGCCGCGCTGCTGCCCTCCGCCGGCCTCCACCAGAAAGGAGATGCTTTCCCGGAAAGAGGCAACTGAGGACACAGCCGTTGAAGAAACAGACGAGGCTACACATGATACTGTAGACGGAAAAATTTGCAATACAATAGATGTTGTATTGATGGGGTGCTGGTGCACGTATATATAATACAAGGGAAGGCCTCTACCTCAACTATACAAGAATAGGAGGTGGGCCACAAATCCAATACAC